TCTAGTTCCCCGTTGACATTGCTAGGCCGCCGCTCCGTCTTCAGAAGGGATTGGTCTCATCTCTGATGCGGCGACCGGACTGTGTCCTGCGACGCTGTCTCCCCGTTCGCGCTGCGATGCTTATTTCTCGAGCCCGTTCAGCGTTTTCCTTCGTGGTCATCACTTCCTCGCAGAACAGGGAGACCGCTTTCCATTTCTCTTTTCTCGCTGCTAGCGCCTTTACTACGGCTGCCGGGAACAGGTCCGGTCCGATGCTGACCCTGAGCGCGCGCCTTTGCGCCTCGAAGGCCGGACATGCCTCCAGCGTTTGCTGCGCAGAGTCTTGCTCCGCATTGCAGCGGTTGAAGTGTGCGCGCACGATCTGGATATCCATTTATCGTTGAAGTCGCCACAGCAGCCTGGCGTTGGCGTGTTTGGCGATCAAACCTCGCGACCAAACGGGTGTACCGTAGAGGGCCATCGACTTTATCACCGAGGTGTAAAGTCTCCGGACCCTGTCCTCTCTAGGGCAGATTCTGCCCACCATAGACGGTCACTCCTTTCACTCTGGGTAGCAGGGTGATAAAGTGTTCCTCGAAAGTCATTCGCTCGTCAAGCGTCATTCCGAAGTACTTCACCTTTCGTCCCACAAAGATCCATTCGTCGCCCATCTTTACCGATGACTATGGCAGACGCCTCGTCCGGGAGTCCGTGGAACCAGATGGCCTCCGTTTCCCGGTCGCCACTTCCAGTCCGAGCGTCTCAATGCGGCCACTCTCATTTCTGCCAGCCTGATGGTTCTAGTTCATTCACGCCCGCCGGTGACCAGCAAGGTGTCGGCGTAGCACGTCAGTTGTATTCCAGCCGGCAGCGCCGTCTTCAAGACGGAGTCATAGCTAATGTTCCAGAGCAGCGGTCCTAGCACTGAACCCTGTGGAACGCCACGGTCGATCCTTTTTGCGCGCTGAACTCCACCATCATCTGGGTGAGACAGTGCCCCACTATCCTCCATAGGTAGGGGGGCACGCGATACCGGTCGAGTCCCTCGCGGATTCTCGACCAGGGCAGGGAGTTGAAAGCAATGTCGAGACAGCCAAAGTCATTCTACCCTATCTCACCGCGGAATCTGTCTGGTTCCGCTACGCTCTATGGCGTCGCTCCTCAATCTGCTCTTCCTGAAGCCGAACTGACTTTCCTGGAGATTTGGTCCCGCATCTTCCAAGTGCTTCGGGAGATGGACCATGGCCACTCTCTCGAACAGCTTCCCCATCTCGTTAAGCAGGCAGATCGACCTGCAGGGTCCAGCGATTTCCCCGGCTTCAGGAAGAGCACCAATCTCTCGGTTTTCCAGGTCTTCGGCACTTTGCCATTGAACAAACGTCTCAGCCGTACTTCGAGGGTTCACAGCCCGTGTGAGCGCTTGGCCGGGGATTTCTTCCGGGCCTGGGGCGGTGTTCCTCGCTGTCATCTTCTTCATGGCTGCTGCCAGTTCTTCCTCCGTAACCAGCTTTGGTGGTGGCTGCTGCGAAGCGTCTGTCTCGTGAGGCGGGATGCCTCGCGTCTCATCCAAGTACTTCGGAAACAACTTTTCCAGGACTCTGTCCAGTGTTGCTCGGTCCAGGTCTTCCGTCGCTGGGGGCTCCCTTGGCCGGAGTTTTCCGAGCACCAGCCGGTATAGCCTTCTCCAGGAATCGCGGTGCATCGTGCCGATAAGCTCGTCCCACGCGCAAACCGTATCATCCTCTGAAGACTCGTCACTTTTGCCCTGTATCAGAAGTAGAGCGCCTCTTCCCTCGCGGCGTCTCGGCACTTCCTTCTTCTCACTCGCTGGGACGCTCGACGAGTCATCGCGCAGCTGATTCTCTTGTGCTTGATCTCTGGCCACTAGACCGAGTCGCGATGCGTTCGTCTGGCGCGTGTCCTGGCAACATTACAGATCTCGGTCATCTTCCTCTGGAGCCACTCTGCCTCTTTGTCAACGTCGCAGGCGGGGTCTGCCGGTGGTTCTTCCCATGCTGTGGCATGAGCCGCGGCCATCAGCATGTCAACGTCCATATTTTTAGCGCCCATAGTGCGGGCGGCGGCTCGTGCCACTGTCGGTCGTTGACGCATGTCCTGGCATGGTGGAGCTTGATGGCAAAGTACAGATGGTCGTTGAGCGACTTCAGCTCCACTGTCACTCTCCAGTCCGTTACTCTGCTGCTGCGGGAGATGCCCACGATAGATCGACTATCGATTTTCCCTGCCAGCGCACGCAAGTGCTCGTTCTACCAGTGTTCAGCAGACGAAGGTGCAGCCCTACTGCCTAGTTCTCCACAATTTCTCATCTCGGTTTGGTTCGGAGGCCACCCCAGAGCTTGGCCTTCACGGTGAAGTCCCCCAGGACCAGTACTTGCTGCGGCAGTCTCCGCGTGATGCGCAGACTGTCCAGCAGTCATCGTAACAATACCAGTGACGCGTTCGGGGAGTTGTACATCCCGTCCACGGTCACGCCGTTCCATCTTGCCATTACGAAGCCCCGTCTTCGTCCGACCTCTCGAAACGTGGTGAAGCCGTTGATCTTCTGGTCAGCGTGACAGGGCCCAGAGTGTCTTCTATCCAGCTGGTTTGTTTGGAAATCCTGTGTGGTTCTGCCACTTCGATCGGCCATGGTCTACAAGAGAAGATCCTGCCCCCTCGCCGATCGATTCACTTTGTCGTGTATGATGCAGTCCGTGAAGGCCATCAGTCCGTCGTCCCCATTACCTCCACCGTGTCGCGCTGTTCTTCGGTCGCGACGGCAGGCTCTTCCACCTTCTTCCTCGTTTCTTCTGTGCCGAGCTAAGGAGTGACTCGGCTCTTCTCGCTACCTCTCTCGCTCCGTCCTTGTTCCCTCTTCTCTTCCTGGGTTTTGTCGAAGACTTGCATGCCTTGCTGCCCTGAAGGTGATCGGCCGGTTTGTCCATGGCACAAGAGTCACTTTATCGCGGCGTTACAATTCCTCGCGATATGTCCTTCCACGCGGCACCTGTATCAGCGCCTGCTTCTATCCGTTTCCGACGAAGAGCGCTGCGCCGTGTGTCCGGTCTCCATGCAGCGGAAGCATTGCACTGGTCGTCTGTCCAACACTTTCACTCGGGCCGATACCCATCTTACCAGTAATCTTTCGGCTCTAGCGACCTTTCTGGGCGCTGTTGCTGGGCATCACATCCATATCGATCCCATACTCATCGGCGTCTGCTGGCGAATTTCGCCATTCTTTATGCTCTCTTTGTCGTACTCACCCACCTTTGCCACTGCCGACACTACCTTGGCCGTAATGACCCAGACGTCCAGCACGCTTATGCGGACCTCTGCAAATTTGCAGGGCCGGGAAACCTTTACCTCCTGGGAACTCTGGAAGACTTCACTCAGGCGACCTGCCAGATTATGCGCCTTTGTCGCACTGTCCTCACCGGGAGTTTCCAGAATAATACCGCCGGTTATTGCTCGCCGGACGCGCACTTCCTTTATTCCCGCATCTTCGAGTTTCAGGCTGCATCTCGCGGTGGCCATTATGTCCGCGTACGTCTTTCCGCTCCCCGGAGCTGCGGTCAACGTGACCGCCCTTCTTGGAGCTCTCGCGGGACGCGGCTTCTTCCATGCCTTTTCTTTCTTCGGCTGCTTGCAGTGCTGCTAGGTCGCGATGTTCGCTTCTTCCTTCGCCATTCTTCGTCCCTTTGTTCCCACGACTTTCGTCCAAGCCGTGGTCTCTTCTCTCGTTGGCACCGTTACCGAGTAGCGCGCGACTTCCAGTCTCGCCGCCGGGCTGGCCTTCTTCGGTGCCTTCGGCTTTCCAGTAGGCTGGTGCGGCCGTGCTGTCTCCGGATTCGAGGAACTCCCACGCTCTTGCTGCGCTGTTTTCGTCGCATCTCCTTCCTTATTTCGGCCAGCTCTTCTGTGAGCGCTTTCATCATCTCTTGCAGCGGCGTTGTCGCGTTCGCTGGCGGAGCTGACCCGCGCTGCGTGGCTCTCGTCGAGATTGTCCGGCCCGTCGGCTCCTTTGGTTCCGAGCATATCTTTCCCTCGTCCTTCCCAGCGGTAGTTTTGCCGGGCTTCTTCGGCTTCTCTTGCCGATTGGCGGACGTAGCTTCCTGTCTCCACCATATATTCTTCCATCTCCTGTTGCAGCGCCCTGAGAATGATGTTTTTCTACTCGAGAGTGGACTGACATCTGGACGCCATGCTTCTCTTGGCCAGCTCCGTCACTCCGGCCCGCACGCTTCCAGCTGCGTTCCGAAGGAACCTCTTGTATGTTCCCTTCAGGTTCCTGGAAACAGCCGCTACCTTCTCCACCGTATTCATATTGCGTATGACGTTCGCTGTGATGTTTGCCGATGGCAGATACCTCACTTCTGCTGCCCTTTCTTCGTCTGTCGGCAGACGCTTCGATCCTCTGGACAGTGGAGGCGCATCCGTCGAGTTATCCAGGAAGTAGGGCTCTTCCTCTTCTTCGTTCACCGGCTTCCTTCCGTGTATCTTTCTACTTTTGTCTTGGGCGCTGCTCGATTCCGACGACGACGCCAGACACCCTATCTTTTTTCCTTCCCACTTTGATGCCCCTCTTCTTGGCGGGAAAGAGTCGTCCGATTCTTCCTCCGAACTTATGAACATCACCTCCTCCATCTTCTCTTTACCAACGCCAGTCGCATTGGTAAAGTGGAACAAGCATGGGCGACCACCTGCTCGCAACCGCGGTCTTTGGATGACGATGCGGAGGGGACCCGCTTGAAAATCCCGCCCGTACCGGGCCTGGAGTCTCCGATACCTCATGAAACAGTAAAATTTGTTCCTTTCTTTGTGTCTCCCATCATTGTGTTTAATTTCTTCTTAGTCGTAGGTCGTGTGCTGGGGTCCACACCGTCTTTCCGCAGTCGTTTGATGACGAATCAGCGAAGACTTACTGGGGCATCTCCGCTGCACCGGGCTTGGGAGCTCCGAACTCCCATGAACCTGTAACTTGTACAATCTTGATGTTGTCTACCATAATTGTAAGATAGATAAGTTTGCCTCCTTCCTCTCGACTACTCGTTTTTTCGCACTCTTCTTCGAGAGACTGAAGCCTGCTTGCCGCAGAGCCCCAAGGAACACTACGGAGAGGTGAGACGACTGGATCATTTGCTCGATACAAGTCCTCGACTTTGCCGAAGAGACACTGCCTACGCAGTAGGCCTTATGTGAACCATCAGCTACATCGAGGTGTTTGATCCTATTCAGGAAATCGGAGAAACTTGTACCAATCTTAGCTTTCCACGACTCGACAACAGTGACGTAACTTGCAAAAGTGAGAAAAGTGACACGAATCGGTATTTATAGAATGAGAAATACGACTGCGCAAGGGTGAAAAGTGTGACACGACTGGGTAGGAGTAAAAATTGTGACACGTCTGTGCAAGAATGACACGACTGGGCAAGTGTGACATGGCTGGGTCTGACTGAAAATATCTCGACTTTAGAAGTGTGGGAAGAGTTACATTACTGAGCAAGAGTGACATGAGTGGGCATGTGTACGAACGGTGACAAAACTGTGCAAGTGTGGCACGACTATTTAACGTCCCCATAATATTACAGTCTACCGGTATGTTATGGGGCTCACATGTGACACTTTCAAACTAACAACATTGATTCTGTCAATATATCGTGTAGATCTGATCTTATATTATTCTACTATTCGCGTAGATCACAATGGACTCGACTACTTTGTATATATATACCATCTAATATTACCTATCGACCCTACAAATCAAAACATTCGATATTTATTATGGCATAACATGATACCGATCTGATGTTCTTATCTTGTACTGTCGCAGGGATTACAATGAACAACATTTTGTTGTATATAATAGTATATAATACAGTCCAATTTTATTTATATAAAAGTATATAAATAATGTCCAATTTTATTTATCGACCATGAATGTGCTATTGATGTCCGGAACTGTACCGGGCTTACATAAGAACTATTAAAACTTTCGACATTCATTCAGTTTATATGTCACACCAAACTGCTGGCTTTATATTATTCTATATATCAAGGAGATAACAATGGATCCATTTTTTAAATACATAACGACGATCTAACATATTTATAGACCATGTGAAGTGTTACAGCCCTCCGGTACGGTTCAGTGATTATATACGACCATTCAAACTTTTCGACAATAATTCTCTCAATACATTATCTCGATGTGATTGTCTTATATTATTCTTCATCGCGGGGACCACAATGAACACAATTTTTTAATACATAATCATCTAATATTATAGTTCACTGACATATTACAATCCTCCGTGGTATTTTTGGGATCACATATGACAATTCAAATATTTCGATACTCATTTTGTTAATATATTATTTC